TTTGTGATTTTATGCCTTTGAGTTTTTAATTTCTTTTGTACTATAGCTTTGGGCATTACACAACATGTCTTTGTATCTTTCTTTTCCTCTTATAATATAACTTTTTATTTCAAAAAAGTACTTCGTAATATGAAAAAGAATTTGTAGCAATTAAAGTTTGCTACTAAAAATGAGCTTTTGTAGCAAAGTACAATTTGTGGCAATATAAAGTTTTTACTGATTATTTGCTTTTGTAGAAAAGTATTATTTGTGGCAATTCAAATTTGTTACTAAAAATGAGCTTTTGTGGCAAAGTATTATTTGTGGCAAATCATATTTTGCCACAAAAGTCACGAATTTTGTGGCAAATTTAAATTTGCCACAAATACATTTTGTAAAGGGGTATTTGTGGCAACTTTATGGCAAATTTGAGAAATGCTACAAAAGTGTATTGTGGCTAATTTTTTATATTTTGTGGCAAAATTTGATGCCACAAAAAGTAATTTTTTTGTAGTGACATACTACTAGTAATACATTACGGTTTCTCAAAACTTAGAAAGTAGTTCTAGGATTAATAGTCTAACTACTGTTTAAAAAGATATTCTTAATTTATTATAGACAACTTATAATAGATGACGGTTTCTATGAATTTTAAAAATAGTACTACGCTATATAAATATACTATTGTTACAAGGGAGTCTTCTATTCTTATAATAAACAACTATGGAAAATAAAACGATATGAAACATACAACTAACAATAGAATACTATTTCTTATAACTTTAAAAACAGTTATAAACTGAAAAAAACCAGACTACCATTTAAAAGTAGTAGTCTTAACTAATTATTGACAACGGTGGCAACAAAAACTATATTTTTAGGTGAAACGGACTACTAATAAAAGATTACCGTTCCTCACAACTTTAAAAACAATTCTACCTTTAATTCATAGACTATTGTTACAAAAGAGTCTTCTATTCGCATTAGAAACAACGGTGGCAAAAAAACCATATGAAACAAACAACTAGCAATAGATAACTGTTTCTTATAAGTTTAAAAACAGTTCTAGACTAAAACACCAGAATACTGTTTAAATAGAGTATTCTTAACTTGTTTTTGACAACTGTTGTAACAAAAGCTGTATTTTAAACTAACACAGACAACTAGTGATAGATTACAATTTCTCAAAACTTTAAAAATAGTTTTAAAGCATAGTACCTAGACTACTGTTCTGTAGCCAAGAAAAACTCACAGTAGTCTGGTTTTTTTAACTACTGTATTTCCATAAACAGTAGTTAATCAACAGTCGTCTGATACTGTTTTTGGCGTAGTGATTATGTATATTCATCATTCATATTCAACATTTTTATTCAACATACATCATGCAATATTCATCATTTGTCATTCAACAATATCCTTAAACTATTCTTAGTCTAAGGCCAATCTATTTGATTTTTACTAACTCTTAAACGAATTCTAGTCTAACATAGTTAAACTATATTCAAGTTTAAGGTACTCTTATCTAACCCTTATGCTAGGCCTAGTTTAAGATATAAATTTTCAAAAAGAGGTTTTCAAAATCTTAAACTTACCTTCGATTAAGGTCATCCAAAAACCGAACAGCGGATCCGAAATGCTCACTGTCGGGTTGGGTGGTATCCCCAAACGAGTGCCTCAAGTTTGGTTTGTAGATCCCGTACGTACGTTTTAACCCAGGCCACCGAATACTCATGATTATACCCGCAAGGCCTATTTCTAAACTATCTTAGAGGTCTTCTAGATAGTCTTAGAAACCAAAGTCAACCTAGGTATATCTTAGAGTTCTTCTAGATATCCTTACAATCCAAATCATTTCATAATCATCAACATATTCATTTCAATTCATAATTTAATCCTTGATAATCATTTTAATTAGAGGTTTCCTCAAGCCATAATCATCATAGTAATCATTCATCATAATCATCAATCAACATAACATTCGATAGCAAATAGTGGCCTAGCTTCGAGTGTTAACACCCGAACTTACCGTCATGCATCACATAAAGTCTTTGTATTAATCAAAACATCATTTTTATTTCCAGAAATCATGTTTATATTAATTATAACTGATTGGTATTAAAAATAGGATTAAAGGGTCCATAATTGGGATTTTCTGGAAAATATTAGGTTTTGGACGGTACCCGGTACGGTACCTCGGTACCGTGTCACGGTACCTTGGTACCGACCGCCACCAGGTACCGTGAATAAAACACAGTGGAACGGTAGATAAGGTACCGTTTGGACGGTATAGCCTACCGTGCCGGCGGTACCTGGGTACCGTTCGGGCAGTAGGGTGGTACCGTACTGTGCGTAACTTTGAACAGTGTCGTCTTCAACCTCGAGCCAAGTTTTGGAATTTCCATTTTTAGTCACCAAACTTCAATTAAACTATATAGAAATGTTCTCTAATGTTCATATGTCATTTTGGTATCATTAATTCATAGTTTTAACATTAAATTCAAGGTTTATGATTCTTGGTTCTTCAAACATGTCAAACACAAAACTCAACCAAACGATCGTTTATGAACGTAGAAACGATCTATACAAACATTCTAGTCATTAGATATATCAACGGGCTTACCTTAAAGCTTATGGAAGGTTTTGACGATTTTCCGGCGAAACTTCCGGCGACTCTATCTCACTGCTCCGTCGACCTCACACCAATACGACAGCACCACTGCGTTCTCCTCACTCCCAGCAACAGAATAGATAGAAAGTTTGTAAGAAATGGTGAGGAATTGAAGGAATGGAGATGGTCCTTATATAGCCAAGTGAAGAGGAAGAAGACATGGTGATGACCTCCATTTTACTGTTTCAGCGGCTGAGTGGAGTGGGCTGCTATCTTCTCCGATTCTAAACGTAAGTCCCTGATTGGGACTAAATTGGTCCCAGTCGGGGAACACACTTTGGTCCAACTTTATCCGAATTGAATTCCGTTTGCACCGTTGTGATCAGACAGTCAACTTCTATTCAACGATATAGTTTTTTACATTTATTCGTTATACTTTTTCCAAAATCATATTTTTTTGGGTGTTTGACTTTGACAGAGTCAAAATTGATTCAATTGACATTTATTCAAAAAGGTTCTCATGATTAATTCATATCATTTATTCCCATGATTTATTTTAGTAAATCTTTTCAATATTTACATCACAAGTCAATTTCTTAATTTATTCTTGATTTGGGTCTGTACTCAGGTTCCCAATCAAGACTACACAAATAGTCAACATATTGGATTTATTTCTATGAGATTTATCCTGCTTGTGATATTGGATATCAAAACACATTTTATTTCGGCCTAAAGCCCAACAATAATTTATTTTAATCAAAACAAATTTTGTTTAATTGAGTATTTAATTCAATAAATTTTAGGGTATATTTTGGGGCGTTACATTTCTCCCCCCCTTAAAGGAATTTCGTCCTCGAAATTCTTCTAAGGCCCAACATTCAACATTTTGTTTTGATCGCACTTAATCATAATCGCGTCATGTTCATTAAGTTAAATCATAATCACGTCATTATCCACATGGATGGTTATTCTCAAATTGTCGATGTTACAAAACTCGTTCTTTCTTCAAGAGATTAACAATCTTTCATTAAGCTAAGCAAGATATTCAGTGATCCTTCAGTTTCAACAACTAAGGTTTCTTTGGAATGTATACGGTTGTATATTTGACATATTCGCATATAACTTCGTTTATTCACAATTCCCAATTGTACAATGTTGATTAGCGAGATTTCTTCTTTTGATTGAAAGTCCTTCAGTAGCCTTTGCAGTTTTAAATTATCAAGTTCGCGATAGATGTAGTGGGAGATTTTTTTTGGAGTTGTCTTCAATTCACACATCATAACGTAAATTTCACTTTGAGATATCTTCGTATTATTCACATAGTTCAACAATGATTCACAATTACGTCAAAGGTCTTTTAGTGGTCCAAGATTTTCAGGATATAGGATTTGTCATCATTTAGGAGGAAATACTATCGATCGATTGTACAGTAGTTCGTCATACATCGACCTTATGTCGAAACATTTCTTCATTCATCTTCATGGTAGCTCTCATTTATCGTTTTTAATGAGTCTTCGTACTCATAAGTGATGACGTTCGTGTAGCGTTTCATATTCGATTTGTCGTATTCAAACTTCTATTAATTTGAAAACATATCTAGATATGATAGAGACAAATTTGATTGTAGCACTATGGCTGATCTCTTTCGAGGAAAAAGATAATATCTTCAGTACGCGATTCAATTCATGAATTCATAGAGTGAGGAATCTTTACTAGTTCTTATACCAACATCGCATATAGGTTCGGGATCTTCACTTGAATGATTCAGCCTGTTTTTGTGACGCCATTTCTTCTCTGGTTGTCGCACATACATTTCCTTGCTAGGATTCTAACAATATCATCGATAATAATCTTCAGAGATAGCGTAATCGTATTGATCGTTTTGTAGTTCACAAAGAGAGGTTTAACATAATGTTTAAGTCAGGGTAGTTTTATCATTGTGATCGAGTCGCGTATTCCATAGGGTATAGTTTTCAAAGATCGATATCATGGTATTACCGAGTATTGTTTTGATTCCAAAGGAGAATCATGGTTTAAGTACTTTGATATAAAGAATGGGATTCAATTTTTTCAAGATTAATCAAGCGAGATGTTTTCAAGGGTGTAGTTAACAAGTTTGAGTATTTCAACGATATGAGTCACAAGATACAAAGATAGCGTTTTCGAATTACCGTTGCTAATCGTAGGTTTTCTTCCTTCAACGTTTCACTCTTTGGAAGTTACTCAAGAGGTCGTTGTCTTAGGAAATAGCCGTTTTGACTTTTTGTTTCGGATTTGAACATATTCCAGGCCATCGAATCTAACTGTTCACTAGTCTCAATACGTCATATCATCAGCAGAGTATAGTATTGGTGAGTACGTCATTATCAGTAGGTAAATCGAATCCATCTATGCTGTACAAATTTCGACTAAGGATAACTACCCTTTCCTCAAAGATTAAATTTCAAGCCTATATATATAGCGTTATTGTCGTAAGGGTATCTCACATTCTCACATTATGGAAGGAACTTCTCGAGCTCTTTCTTATACCATAAGATTCGTTGGCCTACTTGGTAGTCATGCTCTTGGTAGCAATCCAAGGTTCATGGCTACAACGGTCGATCTAGGACGGGAATTGGTAAGACGAAAAATCAGGCTTACTTACGGAGGAGGCAACGTTGGCCTTCAGGGAGCTGTAGCTTCAACAGTTTATAGTAATGGTGGTAGAGTGAGAGGTTTCATACCAGGGTATATAGCAACACGACAGGTTTACGAACCTACATACGGTGTTGAGTACACCGTTTCCAGCAATTACTATAAGTATTTCGAGATGAATCATATTGTGGAAGCCTTCATCGTACTTCCTGGAGGGATTGACACTATGGAAGGTTTATTCACTTTGATCTCATGGGCATCCGAAGGTTTACACAGTAAACCCATTGGTCTTTTAAACATTGACGGTTATTTCAATAACCTAATCAAGTTTCTAGATGATGCGGTGAGGCAGAACTTCATGGCTTTGAATCAAAGGAAACTATTCATCTCTTCTTTCTTTGTTGATGAGCTTTTAGACAAACTAGAGTTTGCTAAAGCTTTCCCGGGTCCAGGGGTTAGTTACGATGAGTTTGTGAATCCTGGAAGACTAGACTTAGAATTGCATCTGTAACTTTCCTCTTGTAATCCAAGTTGTATCTTGTGTTGCAATGATATTATCCATAAATATTATTCTAGGCTGCATGACCAGTGAGAGCTATATTTTCTTCATTCTTCAGTCTTTCACTATTGGTGTCACTATTTCACGTCTTGTTTTTGTATCGTCACCACGTCGCAATCTTTTATGTCAATAGCGCATACAAATGAGTCCATTTCAAAGTAAGGAGTAGTGATTCTTGATCGTCAGTTTGTTCAAGTTTCCTAACAGAGAACTGTTAGTATCCTGACCGTAAGTCAATCTTAGAGAACACAATGGATCGATCCTCTAAGTTGATCAAATAAGTCATGATACGAAGTGAAGGATAAGGATTTGATTAATTGACGATAGTTCATACAGAGTTTCGTCAATCCTTCTGTATTCGCATATGAACAAAATAAGTATTCAAAGAGAAAACACTTGATCAAATGATTCTTTATTAAGGAATCCTTGAGTTTTCAATCTTAACGGAGGTTTATTCAACACGGAATTACATAGATATTAGATAGTGCAAATCCTGGATCAGTACATGGATAATTATATAAATTTTCGAATAAGAAAATATATTAATGATGACTCCAGAGTTTTCTTCAACGCAATCTTTCACTGCATACGCACGTGCATGATTTTGTTTGTGGGTTATTTCCTGCTGGTGCAAGTCGGGCTGAGGTAGAATGACTTTGAACAGGGACATCGGCATTGCTTTTCCAAGGTTTTGTAGGACATTCCTTTCGAAAATGCCCAGATTTACCACAACCTATACATAATCCTTGTGTCATCCAACATTCTCCTGGGTGATGTCTTCTACAAGTGTTACACTTTGGATGTTTCCACACTCTTAATTTGTGTTGAGTTGACAAAGGTTTTCTTCTTTTCGAGGGTGGGGCACTACACGTTCCAGTCAAAGGCTTCTTTCCCTTAGTATTGGGTTTGATACTTGAATAAGCATTAGAGTGACCTTCAATATCTTGGTGGATGTTTTGATTGTCTGGCTCTTTTCGGACAACAAGAGTGAAATTCGATATTTCAATAAGAACCGTTGTGTGTCCATTGTTTTGCACTTGGTTATCTTGTCCACGTGCAGTTTCTTGACTCATTCTACAAGTAGTAGGAATTTCTTTATTAGGATTCCTTATTTGCGTAGGTGCGTTGATAACAAATATCACGAGGGTATATAACAGTTGCGGCGATGGAAAACAATCAAGAGAGATTGGAAGAAACGATAGGGTTTATTAATTCTAAACGTTTTCGTTTGCATCAACGATTGGTTTGCGTTGAGTCCACATGAGGATCCTTGACATCGACTTTACAATGGTTGTTCAACATAAATCATTTCTTTAGAGTCATTTCACTTTCATGCGACTTCGCGATGCGATGCGTACGTTAATAACGGATCAGAGGGTCATATATTTTTCATTCATTCTTGCGTCTCTTCACTGAGTACGAAAGTTCTACTAGAGTCTAGCTCGATATAGTTTTTGTACTAACCATTATTATCTAATGAGAATTTAACACAATCAACATTTACTAAGTAAATTCTAATACCTTTCCTGGAGCAGAGGGATGCGAGAGTCATGGATGTGACTGACAAATTTTTTTTTTATATCAAATTTTGATCCGAAGATCGGTTTTAAAACCATTTGCTCTGATACCAAATTGTAACACCCTAATCCGTCCAGGTCTGCAGCCCCTTTCGGACTAAAGTATTAACTTGGTAATCGTAAAATTTAAAACTTTCCAAACACTTTTATTTATCATAATAATATTTTCATATCATAAACAGTACAGAGTTTTCAATATTGCGGAAGCTTAACAAATTATAATCACAAACATAATTTAATTATATTCTTTAATTCAAAACCATCACATCCATTCTGACTATCTCGTCTCCGTCTGCCTCCAGGATCACGTCACATCATTTTATTGACCTGCGTGTAGCAAATAAAACACACTACACGCTCAGCGGTAAAGCTGAGTAAGCATATCTAATGCGTCGAACATCCACATAAATTGAATCTCAATTCATAATCAACCATTTGATATCATGCACATAATGTTCAGTTCAGATATTCAATAATCAATATTCATTATGTATATTCATCATTCATATTCAACATTTTTATTCAACATACATCATACAATATTCATCATTTGTCATTCAACAATATCCTTAAACTATTCTTAGTCTAAGGCCAATCTATATGATTTTTACCAACTCTTAAACGAATTCTAGTCTAACATAGTTAAACTATATTCAAGTTTAAGGTACTCTTATCTAACCCTTAAGCTAGGCCTAGTTTAAGATATAAATTTTCAAAAAAACGTTTTCAAAATCTTAAACTTACCTTCGATTAAGGTCATCCAAAAACCGAACAGCAGATCCGAAATGCTCACTGTCGGGTTGGGTGGTATCCCCAAACGAGTGCCTCAAGTTTGGTTTGTAGATCCCGTACGTACGTTTTAACCCAGGCCACCGAATACTCATGATTATACCCGCAAGGCCTATTTCTAAACTATCTTAAAGGTCTTCTAGATAGTCTTAGAAACCAAAGTCAACCTAGGTATATCTTAGAGTTCTTCTAGATATCCTTACAATCCAAATCATTTTATAATCATCAACATATTCATTTCAATTCATAATTTAATCCTTGATAATCATTTTAATCAGAGGTTTCCTCAAGCCATAATCATCATAGTAATCATTCATCATAATCATCAATCAACATAACATTCGATAGCAAATAGCGGCCTAGCTTCGAGTGTTAACACCCGAACTTATCGTCATGCATCACATAACGTCTTTGTATTAATCAAAACATCATTTTTATTTCCAGAAATCATGTTTATATTTATTATAACTAATTGGTATTAAAAATAGGATTAAAGGGTCCATAATTCGGATTTTCTAGAAAATATTAGGTTCTGGACGGTACCCGGTACGTTACCTCGGTACCGTGTCACGGTACCTTGGTACCGACCGCCACCAGGTACCGTGAATAAAACACAGTGGAACGGTAGATAAGGTACCGTTTGGACGGTATAGCCTACCGTGCCGGCGGTACCTGGGTACCGTTCGGGCGGTAGGGTGGTACCGTACTGTGCGTAACTTTGAACAGTGTCGTCTTTAACCTCGAGCCAAGTTTCGGAAATTCCATTTTTAGTCACCAAACTTCAATTAAACTATATAGAAATGTTCTCTAATGTTCAAAGGCCATTTTGGTATCATTAATTCATAGTTTTAACATTAAATTCATGGTTTATGATTCTTGGTTCTTCAAACATGTCAAACACAAAACTCAACCAAACGACCGTTTATGAACGTAGAAACGATCTATACGAACATTCTAGTCATTAGATATATCAACGGGCTTACCTTAAAGCTTATTGAAGGTTTTGACGATTTTCTGGCGACTCTATCTCACTGCTCCGGCGACCTCACACCAATACGACAGCACCACTGCGTTCTCCTCACTCCCAGCAACAGAATAGATAGAAAGTTTGTAAGAAATGGTGAGGAATTGAAGGAATGGAGATGGTCCTTATATAGCCAAGTGAAGAGGAAGAAGACATGGTGATGACCTCCATTTTACTGTTTCGGCGGCTGAGTGGAGTGGGCTGCTATCTTCTCCGATTCTAAACGTAAGTCCCTGATTGGGACTAAATTGGTCCCAGTCGGGGAACACTTTTTGGTCCAACTTTATACGAATTAAATTCCGTTTGCACCGTTGCGATCAGACAGTCAACTTCTATTCAACGATATAGTTTTTTACATTTATTCGTTATACTTTTTCCAAAATCATATTTTTTTGGGTGTTTGACTTTGATAGAGTCAAAATTGATTCAATTGACATTTATTCAAAAAGGTTCTCATGATTAATTCATATCATTTATTCCCATGATTTATTTTAGTAAATCTTTTCAATATTTACATCACAAGTCAATTTCTTAATTTATTCTTGATTTGGGTCTGTACTCAGGTTCCCAATCAACACACAAATAGTCAACATATTGGATTTATTTCTATGAGATTTATCCTGCTTGTGATATTGGATATCAAAACACATTTTATTTCGGCCCAAAGCCCAACAATAATTTATTTTAATCAAAACAAATTTTGTTTAATTGAGTATTTAATTCAATAAATTTTAGGGTATATTTTGGGGCGTTACAGTTAAGGAGTGGCTCAACTTGGATGTTGCTCTCTCAACCTTAAACAGAGCTATCAAGTGGCTTAGGAAGTCTCACCATGCTCATTCAAACATCAAGAAAATGTGGAGATTGGCAACCCTTAGCACTGTTTTGTCACATCTGGAGACTTAGGAATGGGGCATACTTTGATCAGATTGCAGTTGATGTCCATTCTACTATGCAGAAGATCAAGTTGAGTGTTTATAAGGTGATGTACAGGCTGTTTCCTAATGCCCCTTTGAGGTTGGGAATGGGTAATGGTTGAGGTTGGACCTCATTTTGACTTTTGGGCTAGGTTTGGGACCCTGATGGTTTTTCCATTGGGTTGGCAGGAAACTAGCCAAACTCTCCATACCCCTTTTGGATATCTAGAGTTTGGGTTGGGTCCTGGGTCTCTTTCCTCCTTCTCTCTCTTTTTCTTTCCCCCCCCCTCTCCTTCCCTTCTTTCTACCTTCTTCCTTTCTTTTCTCCCTTCTTTTCTCTCTCTTTCTTTGCTGATTTCTGGGTGATAGACCAAACTCCCCTTGCCTACTCATCCTTGGAGTGGGTATTGGCAGTTTTGATCTGGAGCCCCCCCCTGGAGTGGACTTTGAAATTTGGATTTGAGTTTCTGATTGGCCTTTGGCCTGACCACTTAGTGGTTGGAGACATATCAACCTCTGTAGACCCCTTCTGGATCTCTAGATGTTGGTGTGGATCCCATTCCTTTCTTACCTTGTCCCCCCTCCCTCCCTTCTTCTCTCCTTTTTCTCTTTCTCCTTTTCTTTCTTTCCTTCTTCCCCTCTCTTCTTGCTGTTCTTCTGGGTGACAGGTCAGACTAAACTCACACTCTTCCTTTGAGTGGTTAAGTTTAGAACCCCTGGCTCCTGGTTTTGGGCATCTGTTCTTGGTGCTTGGGTTATTGCAACTTTGTTTGATTTGCCTTCTGGCTGGACCTTTGGGTGGATGGAAACACCTTAACCTCTGAATACCCCTTTTGGATGTTTAGAGGTTGGGATGGATCCTTACTGGCTTTTGACTTCTCTCTCCCCCCTCCCCCCCTTCTCCTTCTTGCCTTTTGGCTTTTTTTTCTTCTCTCTACCTCTGATTTGCTGCTTTCTGAGAAACGGACCAAACTAAACTCACCCAAACTTCCTTTGATTGGATGAGGGTAGCATGGTTCGCCTCTCCTGTTCTGCTCTTCTATTCTGCTTTGTTGTTCCTTAAGCATTGATGAACCTGTTGTGTGTGCCCTGGGTTGTTGTAGCACTTGATTTGTGTGTGCCCTGGGCTGTTGTAGCAATTGATACCTTGTTTTCAGACTAGCTGTTGTTTGATACTTTGAAGACGAACCTCCATGATGATTGTGATTGAACTGAGCTGTTGTTTGATACTCTGAAGACTAGCTGCTGTTTATGGTGTTGGCTGAGGGGCTCTTACTGCTCCTGTCCCTGACTTTGTAATTTGGTGTGCTCCATGTTTAACAAGTTCGTTTATGGTTGAGACTAGGACGGTATCTGATCGTCTTCAAGCCCCCAACTTTCGTTCTTGATTAATGAAAACATCCTTGGCAAATGCTTTCGCAGTTGTTCGTCTTTCAGAAATCCAAGAATTTCACCTCTGACTATGAAATACAAATGCCCCCGACTGTCCCTTCCAAGAGTTGGGACTTGTTGCACGTATTAGCTCTAGATTTACTACGGTTATCCGAGTAGTAGGTACCATCAAACAAACTATTACTGATTTAATGAGCCATTCGCAGTTTCACAGTCTGAATTTGTTCATACTTACACATGCATGGCTTAACCTTTGAGACAAGCATATGACTACTGGCAGGATCAACCAGGTATCATTCCTCAATGCACCTTGACACGCCAAAACCGAAAGCGAACCCAACACATCATGGGCGGTCATACGGAGGGAAACACAATCACAGAAGTGAAGGTGAAGCCAATAATGAACCAGGGAACCCTGGAACAAAATACTTTATGGGCAGACTTAGGCTAACAGAGAATTCTTAACCAGTCCCCGTTAGTGCACCAAACCCGAGTACTCAACAACAACCAATGGGCCAAAACTTTCCGGAAAAGAGACAACAGATAGTGTACCACAAGCGGTGCCATGGCGTCAATCGAATGCCAACCCTTTGGTTCCCACACGAGCAGGCACACGACAGAACT